CATTCCCTCCAGGATGGCGACGACCGTCTTATGCAGTACGATCGGCCCCTCAGCGCCATCGTGTCCTGATTCACAGTTCGGATCGCCCATTCCCTCCAGGATGGCGACGACCGTCTTATGCAGTACGATCGGCCCCTCAGCGCCATCATACCCAGCTCACGTTCAGCTCGTCCATCCCTTCCAGGGTGGCGACGAACGTCTTATGCATCACGATCGGCCCCTCAGCGCCATCGTGTCCTGATTCACGGTTCGGATCGCCCATTCCCTCCAGGGTGGCGACGAACGTCTTATGCATCACGATCGGCCCCTCAGCGCCATCGTGTCCTGATTCACGGTTCGGATCGCCCATTCCCTCCAGGATGGCGACGACCGTCTTATGCAGTACGATCGGCCCCTCAGCGCCATCGTACCCAGCTCACGTTCGGATCGCCCATTCCTTCCAGGGTGGCGACGAACGTCTTATGCAGCACGATCAGCGCCTCTGTGCCATCGTGTCTGGCTCATGTTCGGCTCGCCCATCCCTTCCAGGATGGCGACGAACATCTCTTATGCAGCACGATCAGCGCCTCTGTGCCATCGTGTCTGTCTCATGTTCGGCTCGCCCATCCCTTCCAGGATGGCGACGAACATCTCTTATGCAGCACGTCTGCCTCTCGGCGCTGACATGCCCGGGTAATCGATGAGAGCCACCGCTTTCCATCACATCTCACATTCCTTCTCCCATACATTGCACCCATACATTACATGCATTCATGCATTCATGCATCATACCTCATACATTCATACATACACATGAGCATCGTGTTTTGACAGTACCGCGACGTCGGTTTATAGATGCATGGACCTCTAAGCTTCTCCGATTGGAAAGCTCGAGTCAGAGTCCTTACTCCCGCCTGATGCATTCAGGGGGAGTGTTCCCGTGGAGGAGCACCCTTCGCCCGACCCTGTTGAGAAGGGGGGTGCCTCACCGGCAGATTACGTTCAGGAGTGCAGACACTCACTCATATATTATGATTATGTGAAGACACAGTTTCCAGCAAGACAGAGGAAGAGCGCAGGCAGAGTATATTTTCTCGAGCAGATTCGCGAGCTCACTACTCAAGAAACTGGGGGACTTGTGTTGGGATATATTATCCCGGCCTATTACTGTTCAGGAGTCCAAGGCTTTACGTAGTACGGAGCCCGAGCAGCTAGGCCCATTTCGGCCCATCCGGCCCACTTTAGCCATTGGGCCCACTCCGGCTCATGCGGCCCATTAGGGTGGAGAGCATCCCCTTCCCCTATTCCCTATAAATATGGGAGTTTCCCTCCATATTGGGGATCCCTCTTCCTTAGCTTATTCTTCTTCCCTCTCTCTAGCTAGCTTACAATACTCCATTAATGGGAGCTCAAATTGTACAATGTAATGGTGAGGAGAGTCCTAATGAGAAAGAGAGGGCTTGGACATTAGCCTAAAAAGTCCCGTGGTTTTCTCCCTTTCGGGTTTCCACGTAAAAACTGAGTTGTTCATACACATTTATACATATATTTACTATATCGTGTTGGATTAAACTCAACACAATCAATTAAAAACGTACAAGTTATTATGCATATTGAACAAATTGTTATTGCTTCTTTATTACACCAACATTTTTTCATCCCTAATGTACCCTTACCATCATTGCTGCTTATAATTTTTTTGAGATTCAACGTGCGAAAGCAAACGTTACGTGTTTGGTAAAAAAGTTAGCTGATAAGCCGAAAAACAGTGTTACAAAACGGCTTCTTAATAATAGACAAAATAAATGTTAAAGTTCAGTTTAAACTCAGTAAAGAGTTAAAAACAGAATGCAAATGGTTGGGGATTTCTCTTTAACTTAACGGAAAGCAACTCCACAGAAACTGAAGAAAGGGGCAGAAGGATCAATCAATTAAAAACGTACAAGTTATTATGCATATTGAACAAATTGTTATTGTTTCTTTATTACACCAACATTTTTTTCATCCCTAATGTACCCGTACCATCATTGGTGCTTATAATTTTTTAAGATTCAACGTGCGAAAGCAAACGTTACGTGTTTGACAAAAAAATTAAGTCCTTGAACTTTCATAAAAACATCAATTAAGTCCTTCTATAGGAGACTCCGTCCGGTCGTCGCGATTTGGGGCGGTTCCCAGTGGAATTTTTTGATGAAATTTTTTGAGCATCTTTCTCATCAAGTGTAGTTTACTCATACTAAATTTCAACCCTAAAAATTTAATCGGGAGCGCATTCAAATTAATCAGAGAACGCAAAAATGCGCAGTTATCTTCAAGAATTAATTTGAATGTGTTCCCGATTGAATTTTTAGCTGAAATTTGGTATGAGTAAACTAGACTTGGTGAATAAGATGCTCAAAAAATTTCATCAAAAATTTCCACCGGGAACTGCCCCAAATCGCGACGGCAGGACAGAACCTCCCATAGAAGGACTTAATTGACCCTTTTATGAAAGTTCGAAGACCTATTCGACAGTTTACCCAATTTTTTAAGAAAACCTCAAAAGAAATATTTGGTTACAACTTAATTTTTCATGGAAGGCCTAATAGATGTGACTAACTAGGTCCTTGTATCAGTCCTGTAAGCTCAATTCAGTCCCTGAACTAAAAAAAGATCCAATTCACACTCCGAACCGGCATAAAAGGGTTCAAATTTCATTTTAAGGTTAAGCAACCAGTAAAAAAAGGTCCAATTCGCAACCCTAAACTATTAAAAAGTGTCAAATTGCAATAAATCGAAAATAAAAAACAGAAACAAATAAAAAATTTAAAAATGACCGGTTGTTTACCCGTAAAAAATGAAATTTGAACCATTTTATGTCGGTGCGGGTGTGAATTGGACCTTTTTTAGTTCAGAGGCTGAATTGAGCTTGCAAGACCGGTATAGGGCCTATTTGACCCTTTAGCCTTATTAAAAACCTCAAAAGTTTTATGGTAATTAAGTCTTATTTAGTTACAACTTAATTTTTCATGGAAGGTCTAATAGATGAGACTAACTATGCGGAGAAGGCTGCATTAGTATTGCCTATAAAAAATATATCCCTCTCACAAAATTCTTCCCAATTTGACTTAGATCGGTGTTTAAGAAAGTGAAAATAAAGTGGAAACATATGTGAGTGGTTGAGTAAGAAAAAGGTAAATGAATGATAATCACACAAAGCTTTCCAGAAAGAGAAATAGGAAGATTTTTTGGTACGTGCCAAAAAAGAAAGTGGAAGAATTTTAAGGGAGGGGAGAGTACTCCGTAATTGGGTAGTGGGAGGTGCACTACTTAAACCATAAGATTAATTCCACCGGATGCATATTAATATACTATCACCTTTTAAAATTTTGTCAAATTTGATTAGAGCAGAAAAAACTAAAGTAAAAATTGTATAATTGATGCTTATGGAGATGAGAAACAAATACCATGAATCATAAATTCATTAATTGAAAACGAAAGTGATAAAATTTTGAGATAAACCAAAAAAGAAATATAGCAAAGTTTTAATTGAAAGAAGTAATTAGTTTTGCAATTTCCTAAATCAGTATCAACCCAAAAGGTGAAATTGCTCATTTAAATGCTCTCTACACCAACATGATACGGAGTATAGAATAATAAATGACACACATGTTCCGGTGTGCCTAAGAAGTCATCAAACATTGAACAAAAAAGTCAACCACCCTCTCACACCATAGAGCTATTTCGGGAGAGTCCCGCTTCGTGTATACGTCGGGTTACACGCCGGTCAAATTGTCTGTATACAAACAATTTGACCGGCTATACAAACAATTAGACTGGCGTTTTATGAAAAAATCAATTTCCACACAGACAAAGATAAAGAGTTGTCTGTATCACATACATTTAAGACGAGAATTTTTCATAAAATGTCTGTGATACAGACAATTTTAAACGAGAATTTTAAACTAGAATTTTAAAATGTCTGTGATGCATACATTTTTTTTAGTCTGTGTGAAAATCAATTTTCTTCATAAATCGTCGATCAAATTGTCCGTATAGTCGATCAAATAATTATCGGTACACATATAATTTTAGAAGCGTGTAAAAGGGAATTTTCCTTCGTGATACTCCGTATAATTGAGACGAATTGGCATCTTTCACATTCATCGCCTAACTATCGGTAGACAGTAGCTTATAAAGTGTACGTACTAGATGCTGTCAAATATGGCTGCCATGCCTATATACGTTTGCAATACTCTTGTATTGAAATAGGGTTAAATATCTTTTTTTTTTTGCAATACTCTGGTATTGAAATAGGGTTAAATATCTTTTGAATATTTTTACCTCTACCTCAAAAATGACTTTTTCTTTTGAAAAACTTGTCTCAAAATAATAGTCTCAGTTATCATTTATGGTCAACACAATTCAGTTTAATCTTTAGTTTTGTGTATCAGATTCTTGCCTTAATTAAATTTTATTTTGTACGTAGTAATACAATATAATTTTCAAATAGGGAGAACTACCAAATAAGCCCTCGAACTTACATAAAAAGTGTAAATCACCTCTTATATAGGAGGCTCTCAATGGCCGTCTTCATTTGGGGCGGTTCCCGCTGTAATTTTTTGATGAACTTTTTTGAGCATCTTATTCATTAAGTCTAGTTTACTCATACCAAATTTCAGCTAAAAATTCAATCCAGAAGGCAGCCAAATGAATTTTTGAAGATAACTGTGCAGTTAAACAGCGTAGTATATTTCAGAAAATCAATTGACTGTCTTCCCGGTTGAATGTTAAGCTGAAATTTGGTATGAGTAAACTAGACTTAATGAATAAGATGTTCAAAAAAATTCATCAAACAATTCTACCGGGAACCTCCCCAAATGGCAACGGCCAGACAGAACCTCATATATAAGAAGTGATTTGCACTTTTTATGTAAGTTCGAGGGTCTATTTGATAGTTCTCCCTTATTAAAAATGTACTAATAAATTTTATGGAGTAATAGTTAAGCCTACATACCAGCTAAAACGATCAGCTAAGCTAATTATCAAACATGGTCATAATATTGTGAAGGAGATGTTAATTTTGTATTTTTCCAACTAAAAATCCACAACAAGATCATCAATTCTCATTTTATATTATAAACCTCTCTCAATCTTTAATTACGTTAAAACCACGTACAATTATGGAAATTCAAATAAAAAGTAAAAACAAAAAACTGAAACAAACACATTAAAGCCTCGAATATTTTATTTGAAGGTGAGTATCTATATGGAGTATATAATTTATGATTTATCCATCCCTTTTTGGCATGCATGCATCTATAATTAAGGGTGGAGTTTGCTTCCTGCAACGTCGACCACAAATCTGTAGCGGACGTCGTTTTTCTCGAGCCTCTCCATTGCCGTGTTGATGTAATCCATCTTCACCACCTCAATCTGGGACGTCACCCCCCTTTTCCTTGCAGAACTCAAGAATTTCTTGCGTCTCTTCCATGCTTCCTATAAAGCTCCCCGTTATGGTCTTCCTACCTAATACCAACCAAACAGTCAAGGAAGATATGATTAGAATTTAGCTGAATCATAAGAAAAGCCAGTTAGGTAATACAGAAATTGGCTGAAAAATTGATTCTGCTCAAATTTATAAACTTCTGACTGAACTGGCTGAATAAGCTGACTCTGCTGAATTACGAAAAATAATACGTACTATCGTATATATTTAAAATATTTTTTTAATAGATTAAAGAAATATTATATGAAATATAGCTAAAATGGTCATGTACAGTAACTTGAACCAATTCGGCCAGAAAAGTAACTCCAACATTATTTATTTTGATTATTACACAACTCTGAGTTTGAAATCAAAAGTTATGTGTTCGGTGAGAAAAAGTTAGTTGATAAGTCGGATAAGCAGAAATACAGAGTCAACAAACGGGTTATAAGAATTACATTTTCTTATTAAAATACTTGATTTTTGCGACTTTTAGTCCTCTAATTATTATGTTAGTGACATTTAAGATACTTACATTATACAACTTCCGTCCGGAAAACAAGTACTCACTTTCTTTTACGGATGTCCCAAAAAGAAGTTCTCATTTCTATAAAAAGAAACCACTTTTAACCCAACAGTCACAACTACTCTTAGTTTTTACCCACTTTTTTGCTTGATTTGTTGACATAAAGTAAGGTATACTTAGAAAGTCAAAACAAAATTCTACTTTACATAAATATGTGTGTAGGTCAAATCAGGAACTTTATTTCAGGATGGAGTATTACAACTCTCAATTGTTCCCTTTTCAATCATTCGACTATAGAGAAGGGGATACTATTGGTAGCTCATTTTGAAGTTTTCAATATTTAATATTTCAAATTCTAAAATGACACTATTTGTGCGTCAGTTATAATTTTGCCAAGGTAAGAGGAGGACTACGATGTTACTGTGGTGATAGGTTGAATGATTAAATAAAACGTATCACTTTTATAATAGTTAGAGGATTAAATGTGAAAAAACACAAAGTCCAGGACTAAAAAGTAGTGTCTCTAACGATATTGGAAAAACTAAAGTGGAAAAATTAAATTCGAGTACCAAAACCGTCACTAACACAATAATCAGAGGATCAAAACAGGAAACATCTCATAAAAAGTTACACCAAACTCAAGTCTTTGTTGAATTTTTTATATTTTTTCAATGTTGGATGGTAAGCAATGTTCCAAATTAGTAAGGCCTTAGTTGGGGAAAGACCCTAGACATGTATATTGGAATTGTCCAGCGTAAGATTTTCATGTGCAGGAAGAGTATTATCTATGAATCTCCAATGCCTATTTGTATCATCATATATACTTGTATGATTTCAACATATGTAATGAGAATATCCAAATAATTCCGAGTATATTTTGTATTTTTAATTCTAATCATATCATGGGACTATAAGAGCTTAAGCAACTTACCAAGCATGAGCATTGGAGAGACAAATTGCAAAGGGGTGTTAATAACGCCCATCAAGATTAGCTTCCCATCAACTTTGAGCAAAGAGATATATGGCTCGAGCGGGTGTCCGACCGGGACAGTGTCAATAATGTAGTCAAGCGAGTCAGCAGCCTCTTGCATTTGGGCTGCATCTGAGCTCACCACATAATCGTCTGCGCCCAAATGGCCCAATGCTTCTTCCCTCTTCTTATCAGATGAGCTTATCACCGTAATGTGATGGCCCATTGCCTTTGCTATCATCACGCCCATGTGCCCAACCCCTCCAAGGCCCAATATTCCTCCCCTTAGCCCACTCTGTTTCAGCCCAAAATGTTTTAATGGGCTGTATACTGTCACACCCGCACATAGAAGTGGGGCTGCTTGTTCTGGGTCCAGCCCTTCTGGTATTTTCACTACAAACCTATATATGAATGATATCATTAGAAGTATTCGAGAAAACCTTCACAAGATATCAGTGGAGTTTTAAATCATTGGTGCTATTACCTTCATCTTTTCTTTTAAAAAGAATACTAACCACAAAGAAAAGATGAAATAATTTAATTTCCTAAAAAGAAATATAAGATGTACATTGGTGTCTCTATAAAGCAAAGATCCGGGGACAAAACTAAACATAAAAAATGATTATGTAAAGGGTACAAATGGAATTATATGCTAAATCATCTCACATTCATAAAAATAATAAAAAGTAAATGAATAAGACATTATACTACTTTCCATCATTCGCAATGGAGCCAAAGACATATTATTTTTTGGCTTGGGAATATGATTGAATAAAGCAAAATGACTCACTAAACTGTTTGCGCTTCTTTGTTATGAAGAAGCAGTCAGTCCATGCAATTTTCGATATGAATTTTACTATTGGTCATGCGAAAACAGTGTCTCTGTGCTTTAGTACAGGCGTAAGGTTGCGTACATCCAAACCCCTCTTACTCCACCATAGGTGGGGGAGCCTTTGCAGCATTGAGATAATGATGATGACGCCACCGCAAGTCTCATAAAAAATGAAGATATAAAGGGGACAAATGGAACTATATGCTAAATCATCTCACATTCATAAAAATAATAAAAAGTAGGAAAAATTGAAAATAATAATCCCAACTATAGCCGGTCCGCTGAAAATAATCCCAACTATTGATTATTTTTGTATAATCCCAACTATATAGATTATCCGCCAATAATGGTCCATGACCATATATTACCTCTATAAAAAGTAAATTTTAAATAGAAATTAAGCGTAAAAATTAAAAGTTGGGATTATTTATAGGGATTACTTGTTATATCTCATCTCATCCACTTTAGAAACTACAAGAATTTATTCGTAGGGACCATTATTGGCGGAAGGTCTCTAAAGTTGGTATTATTCTGTAATAATCAATAGTTGAGATTATTATGAGTGGACCGCCAATAGTTGGGATTATTACTATCAATATTTTTCCTAAAAAGTAAACGAATAAGACATTATACTACTTTGTATTTGACATATGACATTGATTTTTTCAATTGACACCACAAGTCTCATGATATACAAAGTACTTGAATGAAAGGAAAATTAGACGTGAAAATATATAACTAGCACGCCAACATACTCAATGTAGAGCGTTGGTGACTTGGCGCGATCAATTGTGAGAATTCTCTTTTAAAAAATAAGAGGATTCAAACCATTCATCAAAGTAACATACTTCAATGACGTTTTTATTTGAACAGATTTACGTATCACATCAAGTCACATTAAATGAATGGTACCAAACTTAAATAAAAGTGAATTATGAATTAGGATGTTTTTACTTGGACTGTAATTTGCCCCAGACCAGACCAGTCTAGACCAGACCAGTTCAGACCAGACCAGACCAGACTAGACTTGGATAGTTATAAAAATACAAAGAAACCAGACCAGACCAGACCAATTCAGATCAGACCAGACCAGCAAATTACAGTCCAAGTAAAAACATCCTTATATGAGACTAAACTAGACCAGATCATCGTGAACTTAGTAAATGAGAGGTTACTTACTTTTGGTCAACGACAATGTGAGAAGAAAAGCCACCTTGGGTGGGCTTGCCATCGGTGTAGACATCATTGCAGTTCCAGATCTTCTTGGGGCAGTACTGTTCAATCCCTTGTTTGCAAGGGCGGCAGTCCCTACAGCACCCCACGATCAGCCCAACCCCTACCCTCTCTCCCTCTTTGAACTTTCCCACGCCTGCCCCCACTTCCACAACCTCACCAACCACTTCGTGCCTGCACCAAGAAAAAATAGTACAATTTGACTTGGAAAACGTGAGTCAATAATCAATTAATGACACCAAGCACGTTTAATTTTGACTAACTCCTATCACATTTATTTTGTACACACCAAAACATCAAAGCCTAACTATGATTTTTATACTCAGAACGTATCATTGTCAAATGGTTAGGATCTAGTCAAACTTGTTTTCTAGAAATTTTTGAAATTTCAAAATGGACTATTGAACTTTGATCTCTTTTTTCTTAACAAAACTTAGAGTAACATGACCATACCTTCCCATAAACCAAAATGAAAACGCAAAGGAAGAAGCAATTCTTGCAAGCCACTAAGGCACTAACAATGGTAAAACATACCTCCGTCCCTAATAACTTTGCCTAATTTAACTGGCACGAGGATTAATAAAGTAAAAATTGTGTGGTTGAGGTTTGTGCAAAGGAGAGAGAATTAACGGAAACCACAAATTCTTTATTTAAATGAGAAAGTGACAAAGTTAATGAGACATCCAAAAAAAGAAAGTTGACAAAGTTATCAGAGAAGAATGGAGTACCTCTCATGTTCGTCAGAACACAAATTTGATTATTAATGTATTGAAATTGCTATTCATAAAATATACAGTATTTTAAAAAATTCTAAGTTACATTGAAACAAATATTAAAAAATGTGATTTTGTTTTGCTAATTAAATACATTATCTAATTAAATATAGTTAAAGTAGAGTATGTTAAAATTTCAATTCAATTTGTTGAGATTGATAAAGAACTGAGATAGTACCACAATAATGTATGTCACGCTAGATTATATTCATATAAATTACTCCGTGATATATAAGATATGTACATTGTAGTACTATTAATATCAAATTAATCAATGAATTTTTAAGTCATAATCTATACTACTCCGTACTGCTTTATTTGGTTGCTTTTTATCTCAGTTTTTCTTTTACTTTTTTTTTTTACTTACTCTATGTATTTTTGAGCTTTGGAAACTTATTTTTTATGAAGACAAAACCATACTTAAGGTTTCATTCTCTGTTCTCACCATCCCTGCCCTTACATATTATCTCATCTACCTTAAGTAGACTATTCATTAGCCCTATATTCTATATTAAGTGAAAAGATTATAGAAGCAATTAAAAGTGAAAAATAAGAATATACAAAATAGTGGATGAAAGATAAGAAAGAAGAAATACCCAGGGACCAAGGGATAATTGGACATGCCAAGGTCATTCTTGACCTGATGAAGATCAGAATGGCAGAGTCCACAACAAAGAACCCTGATATAAACATCTTCAGGCCCAGTACTCCTGTCAACCCATACAGAATTTCACCAAAGTTAGAATCTTTACAATTTGAAGCTAAAAAAAGTACTTGAAATTTGAGGTTTTGATAGGAAGGGGGGGTTTACCTGAGGGTATAGGTGTAAGGGGAAAGAACCCCAGATGGGTCTCTTGCTGCCCACCCCACTGTTTCCCTTTCACCCTCTAAGCTGCCCATAATGATAAGAATATTGATTGGAAATGGCAAAGGATGGATGGAGGAGAAGAAGAAGATAATCCGGAGAAGCTGATTGGCCTTGGTGGAGAAAGAAGAATATATAGTCCAACTGAAACCCGACAGCTAACTTTCTTTTTCAATGAAAGTTAAGAAATTTGAAAAAGTGACATCCCACCTAAGTGTGGACTTATCATACCCGAAACATATGGTGCAATACTGAATACACCACCTCACGCTTAGTGTAAAAATTACTTCTACATCACGATGATTACTCCACCTTATTTTATTCCTTCTGTTGTATTTTATCCGACTTGGCAAAAAAAGTGGGTTTGAATTGGTCAAATAGTTAACTCTTTGTAATGTCACATTCAATTGTCAATGACTAAAAATAGGCGTAGGTAAAATAATCCAAACTTGTTTTTATAATGGCGGTTAAGATTTATTGTCATAGCATAAGAGATAATTATAAGAAATGGATTTGGACAAATTTAAAAGGTCCCGGTGATTGAGAAGGGAGCATGCACTTGCAAGGAATGCACATTTCATCACCACTCTTGCTTGTAGACATGATTGTGACTCCAATAGCATGATTTTTATGTTTTGTGACAATCAATCTAGTTCCATTACATAGTATTTGTGACTGGTCTATATTTCTTAAAAACATTATTGAAGTCTCAACTTTTAGCCTTATCTTGTAATTCGGGAGACCTAGGGTATGTTTGGCAAATGACTTATCAGTCAGCGTTTAGTTTGTTTGACCTATTTCAGCTGTTTAATTAGTCAACGAAACTAATAATAATGTTTGGTAAATGGCTTTTAAAATTAGCTTGTTGAGTTTGAAAAGCTGAAAAATGGATTATTTAGATTAATCGGACTTGGACGGTGATTGAATACATGTACGATAGTAATGAATATTTATCACACTAGACTCAACCTGATTAAACTGTCTTCAAACAGACAAATTAACACTTATAAATTTCAATTCAAATGTAAACATTCTAATCCACACCATTTACAATTTAGTTCCAACTCAAATTCATTCAGTTTTAAAATGTGGTATCCTTTTTTCTTAGGTCTAAAGGGGGCATCGACTTAAATTAACACTACTTATGACTTCTTACTCCATTATTCAATTTTTAACTATAAATACTGGACTTCATAAACATAGACCGTATAAAATTGGGCTGCTCTATTATTTTATGGGTAATTCTAAATACAGCCTAGCTTTCACCGGATTATATGTTTAGATTCATTAAATAGATAATCTGATTATTCTACTGCTACTTCATTCTAAGTTTAACTTCATTCTTGCGAGGGATGCCACTGCAAGAATTACTGTAGATGAAGTGCTAAGTATGTTTTTTGCCTAGCGATAATGAACATTTGGCCCCATTTTGTACTAGACTTTTGGCTCTGAATTTGTTGATTTTTCTTAAAGGCAAAGCGTTGGGTAAAGTTGATTTTAGGATAATCAGTAAGGGCCTGTTTGGGCTGGACTTTTGACATATCCAGAAGGACTTCTCCATAATTTTAAAAGTAGTGTGTGGTTCCGCTTTTATTGAAATAAACATGTTACCGATTCTTTTTATTTATTTATTTTTTATTTTCACTTTTGTATGGTATGGTAAAGAGCATTTTCATAAACAGATTGCACCAAATTTGCTTTCTTTAGAGAAGAACTTAATCAGAAAACTGTTTTTTATTAGTCATCCCATAAGCATTTAAAAAAAAAGGTTAAAGGCCAAGCTACTTTGTTTTTTCCTGCGTAAGAGAAGAACAGGTAAGCCGATTAATGCTACCAAATGGGTGTTGTTTCTACTTTTCATTGATCAACTGATTATCCAGAAACTTCTTTTGATTACTCGGGTCATCCATGGATTATTTTCTACATGAACGTACATTGCAACTCTTCTGAGTTTAATTAATTCCATTCTGCCCGAAAGAAATTTTGTTCACAAATGAAGTTCAGGATTCCCAACTTAAATTTAAACTTCTTTACTTTATCCTTCTATCATTTATTTTTTAAATTAGATTTACTCATTGTGTGTTTTCTCAATTGCTACAGCCTTAAAAGGACTAAAACAAATGAGCCAAGGCTTGAGAAATGGATCCTAATCACACTTCAAGGACTAAAACACTTTGATAGGGAAGATAGTTTGTTATCTTTCGGCATATCTTATTCAATATTATTCATTATTCTTCAAAATATAAGACTGAATTGGTATAGTCTTCAGAAGTTTTCTCAAATTTCCTACAAAAATTGGCTTTTTAGAAAAGAGTCTTCTTTAAAGCTTTACATAGTCTTCTTTAAGCTCAAAGGTTTGCTTATTTTCAGCTTCTAAGCTTCACTTCTAACTCTTCTTTCATTTGTTAAATTTCTTTGTCTTATTTCTTTTGTCTTATTTTGTCTTTTAATTTTTAAGGTTCAATGCTTTGTACTATGCTTTGTCTTACTTTCATGCTTTGTGTTTACTTTCAGATAAATTAAGGAAGCCAATTTCTTTATATTACTGCTGAACTACATGCCCCCTATCTAAGAAAGATTTAGCTTCTAGATTTAGTTTTGTTTTTCTTAAACAATGTCTGCTAAATTCAGGAAGCCAATTTCCTTCTTTGAGAATCCTTAAGCTTCACATTTACTTTGACAAGGTATATGATTACTTCTTCAATATCTTTGATATGGTTCTCTCGGTCTTCATCCCAACTCTTCTTCAATTACTTTCTTCTTTCCATAACATTTCAAAATACAATAATGGCCTAGGAAAAATAATATGTAGTATGTCTGAACTACAGCCTCTAATCTCATGGAGTTTTTTTTAAATATCTGAATGTTTTATGCGCATTTCTTTGCTTTCTTATAAGGTTCAATGCTTTGTACTACTGCTGAACTACATGTTATTTATCCGTCTGATTCTGAATATATAATATCTGAGATACAACCTCTAATCTCATGCAGTTGTTTTTATACAACTTTGAATGTTTTATGTCCATTTTCTTGCTTATGAGTATATGATATGTATATGTGGGCCCTTTTGCTATCTGATAACATGGAAAAGCAGATTACTTAAATACTAAACTAAGGTTAAAATGTGATGGCCTGTGGTTGCAACTTTCTGGCTGTGATATCTGCTAAATGTATTGTTTACCTTTTCATTATAGCTCATTTGAAAACTCTTGAGAGTTGTTCGTGTTCTAGCCGGAAGGATATCTTCATTAGATTAGAGTTCAGATTGAGAGCACAAACTCATTCGGCAGTCAAAGATAACGGGTCATGTTTCTCTCTTATTCCCATTTCAAATCTGCTGATTTCGTATTTCCATTTACTCTAAAAATAATTGCATATCCTAAATTTTATTTTTGATTTTTCAGTTTTTAAGCTCAATATGTTGTTATTGCGATCCAAAGGTACTAAATGTTTAGGATGTTAGTGCCAACAACCTGATAGGTAAGTTTTAAGTTCGAAATAGTCAAATGTAAAAGATTTTTCAAGCGCATATCGAATTATTTTCTCTGAAATTTGGTTGTTTATTTGTTCTGATTTTGTTGTTCTGATTTTATTGGGTATCTTAGTTCTCAATGGGTTTGATTTTGTTAGATAATTAACACTGGAAGGAGCTGGAAGGAGCTGCAGCCTGCAGCTGACATAAAAAACATGGATGGTTAGTTAAATTGAGTTTAAAATATCCTATATATGCTGGCATTATTAGCATAAGTTTACACGTTGATGTATTACATACCTGAATATACACAAGTAATTTTTTAATAGCTGTTCAATCTGTTCATTATATTGGATTGGATGAACACTCAAGCTAGCACAAAAATTGAAATTCCTTTTAATTAATTATTGTTCTTCAGATATGATTTTATTAATTAATTAACGTGTTCTAATTGTTTCCCAGTTCCCACTGATCCGGCTTATCATTTTTCATTTCTCAAAATGCCATGGAGAAACGGTAAGCCACAGGCTTAAATAAAGAGATGGGGATAGTGCCATACTCAGATTGGGATAATGTGAATTTTCATCAGTTTATATTAAAAGATCATAGAAGATGGTAGTGAAATACTACTTTTCAAAGAAGATGGTAGTGAAGTATGCAGTACTATGTGTTGGAGTTTCTATGAATTTGAGACTCCATGTGTGTGCAGATATAACTAATACAAAATGAGGCATGGAGTATATGAGTTTAGTCTTACGTAGATAATGCACTAATATATAGTTTGTTTATTTATTTATGCCAAATTCTGTTTTTACCAGAAATTGTATATTATTTGTAGTAAATTATGCCTTAACTCTTTAGAAGATTTTTTATTATATGGAAGAAAGATAAAGTTTGCTCAATATTTTATAAGTTCTAGGATATTGATCAAACACAAGACAATCCAATGCATATGATTTTTTCCTTTTCAATACATTTCAATTCTTTAATTTGACTAGTAGTTCACCCGTGCGATGCACGGCATATAAATTACATACAAACTATTCAAGTAAAAGACAATATGCAACGGCTTTTTTTTTTATTCAATTAGAGGAGTACTGCTAAATAGCATTACTTGTAAACAATTATTAATAATAAAATACAACATGAGTTTTATAAAAAAAACTTCTTTATAGACAATGTTGGTTGTCGTTGTTGTGCTTTGATTGTCACCATCCACCAACAAAATTGTGAGACCTTTTCAATTGGAAATCTGGAAACAACATAAAATTCATTGTGAGAGAAAATTGGTTTTTTAACAACAATCCTACATGAGTGTTGTTAATAGTCATTGCATAAGCGACCATTGTTGAAAATTCTCTCCTATAAAATTTGAAAACAATTCTCACATCTGTAGACATTAATGACTCAATTTATCCAGGTCTAAATATTTCTGATTAAAATAGGATTAAAACTCAAAATCCTAAACCTTGAACCAAAGACCCACCTAACCGATATAATGCGTTCTAATACGGTTTGATTTGATCTAACTTTTTTATATGGATAAAATAGGGAAAATTCCCGAAATAGGAGTAAATAAGTTTGAAAATTCCAAAATAGGATTGTCATGTTTTTATTCAAAAACATGAGTAATTACTGCCAAGTTTGAAAAATACTACCATCTTTAAAGTTTGGTAATTCCAAAATATGGCAGTAAT